GCTTTTTGTTTATGTCCTTTTTTCCTGTTTTATTTTTTCTTTTTTTTACTGTTTCCTTGTGACTTCTGTCCATGTGTATATGCGATCTTCAATTTCCTCCATTTGATCATAACCTTCTCTTTGTTTTTTATGTGAAGGGAACAGTTTCTTTTTTCTTACGATGCCTCAGAAGAACTGAAAGAGGCTATATCTAAAAAGAATCATGAATTAGTCTACTTGTATGATATTAATCTCGTGGATGAAATATGGAAAGAAACCAGACCAAGGCCTCCCAACAAACCTGTCAGAGTGCATGACCTAAAATATGCTGGTGTAGATGTGTCATCCAAGCTGTCTTCACTGAGGTCTGAATTAACTGATGCTGGTTCATCTGCGATTGTTATCTCAATGCTGGATGAGATTGCGTGGCTATTGAACTTGGTAGCTCTCTATCCTATTTCTTGAAGAAAACTCAAAATTTTATTCGTAGAAATTGTGAAATAAGTTCATTTACCCCCTCCAAGAAAAAAGAAGAAAAAGAATGACGTGGAAGGAAATGGTGTTTTGTGGTCATCAAAATAAATGATCTAGAATAATTTTAAGTCAACCAATTATTATTACAGATTAATTAATAACCTGGAATTGAGGAATGAGACATTTACTTGAGAATAAATACTTCTTCTAGAATCAAATGGACAAACCTTTTTTTTTTTTTTTCTTTGAGCATAAGGCCAGCTGTCAAGTATCACCTTTTCATATAAGCTTTTATATTAATACTATGATTAGAAGATTTCCATTTTACTTTTCATTGCAATGATGCAATGGTCTGTTAAGGATTTAACCTGGAACTTCCTCTTCATGGAATTTTAGGTTCTTTTGGTTTTTCCTTGTTTCTTGAGTTGTCAAGAAGTTATACATTGGTTTCATTAATTATTTATTTCTGGTTCTCAGTATATACTGCTAAATGTGAATGCTATATTTTTTTTTCTCTTGATAGAGAGGTAATGATGTGCCACATTCGCCGGTCATGTATGCGTACTTAATCGTGGAAACTGATGGATCTAAGTTATTTATTGATGATGCCAAAATTACCCCAGAAGTGATTAATCATTTGAAGAATGCAAGAATAGAGTTGAGACCATGTGAATCCATTCTTTCTGAAATCGAAAGGTAAAGTTAGGAGTTTCAAAGCCATTTTACTCATTTATGCAGTCATTCCACTCACAAAGTTGCTCTGTTTACTTCAGCAGCAGCAAGTTGTAGAACTGCTGAGTATTCTATAGGTTTTACCAGGGTTTAAAAAACTGGCCCAGGCATTGACCTTTAAAGGGTCAACGATCGAACCAGCGGTATAAAAAGTTGAATAAATAAATGAAGACAAAATTTTCTTCTTGTTTTAAAAGTGAAACCATAAGACTGGCCAGTTTTGGGTTTATTTTTATAGGTCTTAATTTTTTTTATTCTTTATTATTTATTTTTACATATAACTGGGCTAGATTTTGAACCTTCCAGTCTGGTCACCGTATTAAACTATAATTTTCTTGCAGTTTGGCTGCTAAAGGGGCATGCCTTTGGTTGGACACATCATCTGTTAGTGCTGCTATCGTGAATACTTATAAATCTGCCTGCAACAAGTTCGCAGGCGGTATTGCAAGTTTAATAAACAAAAACAAGACGACGATAAATGGCGAACCTTGGGAACCCTCTGCAATAAATAAGAGCTCACCTGTTTGTCTGGCTAAGGCTGTAAAGAATGAGGCAGAACTAAAAGGGATGTGTAATTCTCATCTAAGGTAATTGGAATACAAATATTTCTTTTAGAAATAGATGTGACTAATTTTTCTGCTTCAGAGAAAAATGTGCAATTATATGACATGAACTAGATTATTCTTTGCATTTATGCTATTGCACTATCAGATGTTGAAGCTGTCATCTACACTTGGGACTTTTTGTCAAGCTTATTTGGTTTCAATTTTATTACTTACTTTATGCTTATTTCTATATTCTGTTAAAGGAGAATGTCCACGGTATACCTCTTCACATGCAAATTGCCTTATGTTTCCATGTTTTTGGATTTCATTGGCAAGCTTCCAGTTCCGTTATATATCAGGCAAGGTTATGTTTTAAAGAAGTTTGTTAACTAGAAATGTATAAAAAGGGTAATCGTTAGTGTTGATATAAATTTCTGTCATGGAACCTTGGGTTTACTAACTACTACATTTCAGTTTGAATGCCATATTAATCTTTACAAGCCTCCTAGGCTATCCTAGTTGATAAATAAGTCCTGATATAAAGCCTAAGTGAGCCATATTTGTTCATACAACTCGAGTTTGGATGTCTCGAAATAGATGGCCACTTGCAAAATAGTAGTTCTTTCCACACTACCCTCAAATGAATTAAGCGGCAACTTTTTCTTTTATTGGTGTGACAGTTAACCTTAGAAATATTTTCATTTTTAAAATTTTGACTTCTTGTGAATGTTTATATTGAATATCAGTATATCTTAATCATCACATTCAAATGTCAAAAGAATCTTCTGGTCGAGTCTCTAAAAATAATTTTGTCAAAAAGTAAAGTGCATACCTACTTAGCATCTATATTGATACTTATATTTTTTATTCCTATATAGGAACAATTTTAAAAATGAAATATTTTAACGTGCCAAACGTTTGAAAATAAGAAATTTGAATAATTTAATGGTAAGTTTGTTCAGTGGATTATTCCTTACAAATAATTACCATACAAGAATAATAACACAAGTTGCATCAAAATATGTTGATTCAAATATGAATGTATTACTATGAATTAATTTAATGAAAAGAGAACTTTTACTAACTTTGAAGTTCATGTAAATTTCGATATATATTATTTTCTCTTTTCACTGGAACATTGAGTAAAGGACATGCTAAAGTATGTAGGATGTCTAAAACAAGACAAGACCATTGGAAGAAAATAAATGACTCAAATATTTATAACACGTAGCAGGATTTCACCTCAGCTTACCGTGGATGCGCCTTTAGTTTAATTCATTTGTTTGTCGACGTTTTATGTCACAACAGGTTATCATATTAAAGTAACAAAAACACTTTTTGATCTTTAAGTGATTTATGGAAAGCATCAATATAATCTAGCAGCTATTTATGGACCCATGTTTGCCACGTATCATTTAAACTTAATTTCTATTCTGTGTTAATAACTATGATCATGAGTAAAATCAAAATCTATAAATTCTTACAGCACAAAATTCAATGGAAAACTAATAAATCTGAGTAAATATTGTGTTGATAAGTTGCAATGCAAGGCAATGTAATAATAATACTGATCACTTTATAATACTAATTATTAGAAATATAACATCGTAAATGAACTATAACTAAACCTGAATAGCACAAAATCCACTGCTATGACATGTTTTGCAAATGTAAATCAGTGGTTTTAGAAAACCTTTTTTCTTTTTTGAGGAATGGTCTTAGAAGCTTTTGATGGCAGCATATTCTGCCTTTACAAAAAGCCTCTATGATTAGAACACAGAATCATATTTAAAATGAGCAATAAACTATCAAGGTAGAAATGACATGAAAGAACAAATTAGCTGCTGGATGCTTTTGCTGATAGTCAAAACATCTAATGTGCATTATACATGCACAACCAAATGTAGAGAAAGAGAGAGAAAATCTGGTGAGATTATGCAATGGATTAAGTTTCTCATATGAACATCATAGGAGTATTATGGGTAACCTAAACTGATTAAGGTTGAGTGATCATTCATAAAGGAATAAATTATTTTACATCAAAGTTCGAGCCATATTCTGCTTTAATGTTTCTTTACTTCTAATCTGATACATGTGTACTCACTTTGAAATAAATATTAAAATTCGTTTGTTTGAAATATCCAGTAATATAACAATTTTACAATAGTTTTTAATACATTCACGGGTTTATATATAAACATTTTGTTTTCTTAGTTGGCTAAGAATGTTCACAGAGCAAATCATGAGAGGTAGCTCAGTGATCATGCCTTGGATTTACTCCCTAATGATTATCAGTTTGAGTCCCCTCATGACCACTGAGGTGAGTACTTGGTTGTAAACTTCAAGCCCCGTGGAATTAGTTGAGGTACGCGTAAGATGGCTCGAACACCCACGGTCATTAAAAAAAAAAAAAAAGAAAAAAAAAAAAAGAATGTTTACAGAGCATAAGAAAATACCTCTTCAATATCGTGTTCTTGGAAAAGCATTGGTAGGTTACCTTAGATTTAATATAACTATAAGAAAGTTATGACTTCGAGTTTTTGATATTTTCATCTTTTACGTTTTCCATTTCTTTTAGTTGATTAACTCGATGGATATTTTATAACTGTGAATTTGAGGGTTTTTTTTTTTGTTGTACGTTTGAAAATGGACAATAGCGGCCTCTTGTTTTTGGGGAATATTTATGCATGAATTTGTCTTATGCAGGGATGCAACTGCTCTTGCACAGTTCTGGGCTTGGCTGGAGGACGAAATCAGCAATGGCGTTGTTCTGACCGAGGTAAACGTTGCAGACAAGCTTCTTGAATTTCGTTCTGCACAAGAAGGTTTTGTTGACACAAGTTTCGATACTATAAGTGGTATGTAAATTTCTATTTCTTATTGGTTTTGAGCATATTATTATCGCTTGGCACCTCCTAGTACTTTAATAGTAAACGAACATTACTATCAATGCCTCGAAATAAGTAAACACTCTGTGTATGTCATTTTTTGTTTGGCATTATGATCTTTCATTAACTTTTTGTCACTTGATGTGCAACACTTGTGCATATAATTGTGGTATGTGGGAGGTTTTATTATTTGAGAGTCCTTCATGAACTTGTGATGGAGACCATCATTAATGTCTTATCTCCGAGGATATGGCAACTTAGCAAGTGAGCAAACAAATGAAGTTTTGCACTACAGGACACAGAAACTGTCACCCTGAAATCATAACTATGGTTTTTATAAATAACCCATAGGCTACTTATTCATTAGTTGCTATTTAAGCAAATAACAGATGTGTCAAGGGGAAGGAATCCAGCTCTATTTTGTCGAAATGATGACAGACTACCACTAAGGGGCAACAGTTTGTTGTTCATCATTTTGTAGAAACTTGCTGTGATGGCCCGAATTCTTGATTATTTGAGTGTCACTAAATAAAACTCAATTCTTTCATAAGATCTAAAATAAGAACACGAAATTTTTTTATTTTTCTTCAATAAGTAAGTAAATTTTGGTTTTATCATGTCTCTGCAAAAAATAAATAAAAATAATAATTTCAACATAACAACTAAATTGGAAATTCGAAGTTGTGTTTTAAACACAAAATAATTTATTAATCCTAACCCGTTGTCTTCTCCATGTTGACTGCCTCGAACTATCAATTGCTTGAGAGGGAAAATTATCATAGAGTAAGATTTACAAAATCTCAAAGAGTACGCCATGAATTATTATCGTGTATAACTTAAATGAGCATAATAATCATAATCAATATAATGGGGAGACAAGAATTTTACCGAGCATAGGTGGTAAGAATTCTTATGTGTAGCGCTACTAAACTCTAGTCCTCTTAACCTAATCATAATCATATGGTACCATATAGGACCCATAATAATTTTCTTGAAATTTATAACATAATAATAATCCAACATAAACAGCACATTTACTGTGAAATTTGAAAGAAAGAGTAATATAGACTTGATCCCTCTGCAATTTCTACATCGACTTATGAACGTGTATATGTGAATATTTTTTAAACTGAAAAATAATAGTTAGTGGTAGCATGTGAATGTGAATGAGAGGTCTAAATAGGACAAGACTAGGCATGCATTATTAAGGAAAAACCCATGATGGTAAAAATTGTTCCTTGAAATTTGTAAAATGAGCAAGAATCTCTCCCATTCCTACATTCATGCATTCACATTACATATTATCTTATGTTTGGTCAATCAAGAATATGACAAAAAACATATATCGAGTGTTTTCTATAGAAGTGTTTGACTAAGAATTGACCCTTTCTTTAAATCAAAAACATGTGGGAATTGGCATTTATAGTAAGGTTGCTACAAGGTCCTAGAAGGTGAATTAACCCTCAAATGAGTCCCTAAATTTTCAATTCTAATAATTTG